CCGCGAATCCCGATCACTTCGTTTAGTTCCTTTTTAAGAGCAAAAGATGTGAAAAAGAGCTATTTTTGAAGTTTTAACTTTAAAAAAATATATGTTTGGTAGTTTGCAACCGATTTTCAAATTGGATATTTTGTTTTAAAGATACAAGTGTTGTCTTTCAACCCAAAAAAATAAATCCTAAATTTATGATTAATGTCTTGGTTACGGCCATTTAAGTAAAAAAACTCACACTTTTTTCACAATTTTTAATTTTCATACTGCTCTACGTTGGCCATGAAGCAGTAACTTTAGCTTTTATTACATTTCAAAAAAGGCACATTAAGTTGGGTTTCCAATGATGGTCAATTTATAATAATCGATGAAAAAGGTTATGAGTTGTGCTAAGTTTTATAAAAATATTGCATATTTCTTCCATACAAAAACGTTCATGTTTCTGGTTTTCTTTGTAACAAGTTTAAAAAATGTTTATAAACATTTTTATACAAAAATTAATTTGTATGGAGAAAACCAAAAATTCGAGGAACATGCTATTAGAAAAATTGGCATAAATCATCCAGTTTTTCATAGATTTTTATGTTTTAGAAACCTAACTTTATGTGATTCTTCAGAAAAATAATAAAATATGAACTCACTGCCTCATGGCCAAAGTAGAGCATGATGAAAATGACATTTTTTTAAAAAAGTGTCAGTTTTTTTAATTAAACGACCGTAACTCAGACATTTGACCATAAATTTTGGGTTTCTTTTTTTGGATTAAAAGGCAACACTTGTATCTTTAAAAAAATATCGGATTTGAAAATCGGATGAAAACTACTAAACTTATGATTTTTCAAATTTAAAACTTCAAAAATGCCTTTTTTCGCATCTTTTGCTCTTAAAAAGTAAGTTAACGAAGTGATAGGGGAAAACTAAAAATATATTCGTACTCTATGGACTATAACGAAATAGAATTGGTATATGAGAACGCCTGCATTTTATTTTTCTTCACTTTTGTATCACAGTGTAATTGTTTAATACTTATATATACTTCGGGCTACATAAAATGTGCTAAATTTTCCTAAATTCTCAAATATAAATAATAATTTCAATAATTTAGCTTTTTGTGAACATTTTACAGAAAGTTTTGTACAAATAAAAAATCTCTTCATATGGCATGATAAGTTTTAAATTAAAAATCTTTGGTGTTTTGAAATAGTATAAAAAAATGTCGATATAATAATTATTTTTGTTTGTATATTTTTCCGAGATACATATATTGAATATTGTGGACATTTTCTTTCTTTTATTCATTTTCTTCAGGCTTTTCGAATCTACAAAAAATTTCGAAAATATTTTTTGTTAAATTCTAAAATGTTCATCTTAAAACATATTCGAATCACATGTTTTTTTATCGACTTAAAAAACATCGATTTTTATGAACGATACATCGTCGTTTCCTCACACATGCGCTTGCTATAAAATTTGACTTCCTACACAGAAAAAAAATGAAATTCAAAATCAAACAAAAAATTCACGAAATTCGTAAAATAAAGCACTCAAATTCGCAAATTTTTTATTGAAAAAATTTCAGGATTTTTCTTATTAAAATAATATACCATTAACGAAAACGTTAAAAAATATTCGCGTCATTTCCAAGCAATTATTATACTAAAACAATAACACAAGTTATTTGTGCTGAAATTCAAGCATATATATTATCTGAAATAGATAAATTATTTATTGTATTTTGGCAATAATCCTAATTTGTATTATAAATCTCTTTGTAAGTCTGTTCGTTTGTTTGTTCGTCAATCACGCCTAAACGGCTGGACCGATTTTCTAAAAATTTGGAACAAAGTGTGTTATAGGCTATATTTTTTTCAGAACTTGGACTAGGAGGGGACAAAAAGGGGGTAAAATGTGTGAAAAACGTGCAAAATGAGTACTTTTGATAGTAAATACTGATTTTGTCTATCCTTTAGCATAAGCATTTTCGATTAACCTACTTAATTTGTTAGAAATTTATTTAAGCAAAGTGCCGTTGCGAAAATTGGACCGGAAGGGGACAAAAAAATATGCCAAATGGCGAAAATCTTACAAAATTAGTACTTATGTGCTTTAAGAATGATTTTTTTTCTATTCTAAAGCCAAAATATTATAAACTATGATTTTGATAGTCTCAGACATATGTATCTACATATATTTAGAAATTCCAGACTTAGGGGAAAAAACGGGTAATTAAGGTAAATCTGTATTTGCTGGGTATAAATAAATGCATATTTTCAGATTATTCTAACTACTTCAATGAATAAATAGAACAAGTAAAAATTTATAGTTGGGCATGGCCGACCATATGATGCCCTACACCAGTGATTATGTTACAAATGTTGATTAATAATAAAGCGTTTAAATTCATTTTTACCTTAATTCAGAAATATTTTAACAATTTATTGACAAAAAAGGGATTTTCTAATAGAGGGTTATATGGGGGTAGGTGTTTAATAAGGGCCTATCCCATACCTACCTACGTCTACATTAAAGTTATTTATGTAGAATATCGCCGTAATATTAGTGTCTATAAGAGAATTTGAACCATCAAGTCCTTTTATGAAAGGGACTATATATGGGGGATGTGATCTAATGAGGACCGATCATTACGAAAATCAGCAGTGTCATTAAAACTTATATAAAACTAAGTTTTGCCGATTTTTGGTGTGATACAAGAACATTTAACATATTTATGAGCTCAAAAGCCATATTCAGTAGATTCGTCCTTGAAAGAGTATGTGCCAAATTTCTCCAAATTATCTTGCAAATTGCGTAGCGTGCGCATAACATTTTTAATTACACTTAAACGGTTGGAACGATTTTCTTTAAATTTGAAACCTATTTAGATATATAGGGGTATGGTGTGATAGGCTATATTGTTTTCCAAAATTTGGATAAGAAGGGACAAGAAGAGGTATGTGGATGAAAAAGGGACAAAATTCGTAGTTTTGGGAGTAAATACTAATTATTGTCTATACTCAAGCAAAAACATTTCTGATTAAGCTTTTAAAGTGTCTGAAATATGTATTATGTATTAAAGTTCCGTTTCAAAATATGAGAAAAGGCGAAAAAAACTGGAAAAAATTTTACATCTTGTTTTAAGTCTGATTTTTTTTCGTTCTAAAGTAAAAATATTTTAGACGATGAGTTTTTAGTTTAAGAGATATGTGTATTCGAAAGTCCACCCCCAGAGGGAAAAACAGGAAAAAGAAATTCAAACTAAACGGTCAAAAACGGCTAATTATGTGTTCCTTTGCTACATTTTTTGTACTTTTATGAAATTTGAGATATATATATATATATTTTTTTTTTTTAATAAATGTTTTACAACATCGATTTCTGAAATGATACAAAATATATTAAACAAAATACATAAATTTGAATAATTCAATGGAGAAAGAGGGTATGGGTAGTATTTTTGGAACTGTGTTGGTACCTTTTATAAATATTGTTCAAATTCAATGAAATTTCTTTTATAGCTTTATAAGATCACAAAGTAATTGTAAGGACTTTCTTCATAAGGAGACCTTCAGCATGTTTTGAAACACGAAGAAGTTAGGGAAAAATTAGCACTTTATGCTTTAAGTCAAGAATTATTTGTTCTCCTAAGTTAAATATGTATACTATAGTTTTACCTAACTAGATAGTATTAGAATTATAAATTTGGATTTTTTACCTTTATAAATTGGCAAAAAAAAATTGTGAAGTTATTTCTTAGTGAGGGGTAAAATGAGTAAATTTTTTTATTTCGTAAATGCTTTGTTATGTTATTTAAGTCAACGAAATTTTTATATTTCTGAATGTTGAAACATTTCACAAATTGATCTATGGACATAATGCAGATTTTTTAGTTTACTCTAACGGGAGAATACTTAAGTATAATGTTGTGAAACCTATTAAAACGTCGGGTACAAAAATCTAGTAATAAATAATTATTGAATCTATGAAAATTTTGGTTAAAAAATATATATTAAATCTTAACAAAAATTTTACTGATTCTATAAAACCAAAATTTGTAAAAATAAATTACTTACACTGACTCAAATAAGTCTCCGTACAGTATGTAGTTAAAAGCATAATTTGTAATATTTTATAAAATATTATATACTTACAACTCAAACAAAAACATTTATTGAATCAGTAAAATTAAATTTATTTCAATAAAGCGTTTGTTAGAAAATATTTTCCTTCTGTGTAAAAATCAAACAAATTCGTTATAAATCTAAACAAAAATATTTATAAAAATCTAAATTAAATTTAAACAATCGATTGTTAAGAAAAAATTGTGCATATTTTTTTCTGTGTACTATTACCTTGTGTTAATCATTAAATTATATAAAATATAATGTTATTTAACGAATTTTTCGATTTTACTGACGAATGAAACCACTAGCATGTATTCAACTACATATATATGTATGTATACATGATTCAATATGGCACTTATCTAATTGATGATTTGCCCATTGTTAAATTGTGTGATATACAGTGTTTAAAAAATTTGTTATTGTTACAACCAGGCAGAGCAGAACAAAACAATCACTTTGTGCAACTACCTGAAGAGCAAAATTTGTGTAACTTGAACAGCTTCACTTCGCTACTAAGCATTTATTGGACATACTCAAATTAACGAACGATGACTATAATTGAAATAGACCAATCAAAATCATAACAAAAAAATGGAGACAGCATGTGTTAGGTACATATCATTTGTCCTTTACTATCCTTGCCTTTATTTGCCGTTGCTTATATGGGGTTATTCAAAATAATTGAAATGCACAAGAATCTTTTACACGCCCATTACTTGTGTTGGTGTGAGCAGAATAAAATACGTTTTAATGCAAGAGATACAAACAGAAAAAGTTGTATTGAAAATTATGTTAACCAATCAAAAGTTATATAAACTTGTAAAACTTCTTGATATGAAAAACTTGTTCGAGGGCTATCCAGAAGCCATATGAGAAGTACTCGTTAGTACTGTTCAGGCCTCTTGTTTCATTTGACGGAATCGTGTCGAGTGGTTATTCATAATAAATTCACTGATGTGGGTTCTCTATCGTTAGTTTGCCTATATGAGATGTATTTGGATAAAAAAGAAAGGAATTATTTTCCGCTATTGGCGTTATAAGACTTTAATACTAATTTGTTTAGTGATTTTTTCTAGTGTTTTTGTCAATACATTTCATTCCCGCGTTATTTAAGAGATTAGCCGTTGTAAAAGTTCAAAACGTCTACCCTTTTAAAATATAGTGATATCAATATAATAAAGAAAATAACATACACAAGCTTAATGTATGAACTAATTGTTTATATCCTTTACTTTTTGAATTTACTCTTAATTGTTAAAGTGGTATCTGTAATAAGATATTAGATATTGTGAAACAAACCAAAAATATATAAGGATTTTACTCACATTTAAAAAAGGTAAACATATTTTATTTAAAAGTATCATAATCAAATATTTTTGTACTTATACCGATTTCTTCTTTGATGAACAAAAAAAAATTAAAAAAATCTAAAGTTTCTCCTCAAATATTAATTTTAAAATTATTTTGAGATTCCCCTTGTCCCATTCTCATTTTTTGTATATGATTGATGATGTTATAAGGCAATTTCAGTATAGGAATTATAAAAATTAAAGATAGATGAACCACTGTTTTTGAATTTATTAAGAATTGTCAAACTGCAATACATAACAATTAATTTGTGACTAAAGCCATGCATACACGGTTGTTAGATCTTACAACGTTGGCAGTAAAATGTGCAAAAAATTTCTAACAACAGTGTCAACGTACAAATTTTGTCTTACAACATTGACAGTAATGCTTTTTCTGACAACATTGCAAAAGAAAACGTTCACACGATTGTTACACATTTTACTGACAACGTTGTAAGATCTGAGAACCGTGTATCAAAGCTTTTAGACTGATAATACAGCATAATTAGTTTAGCAAATACAAGATAAACTTCATGCCATTGAGAAAAAATCTTATAAAATATGAGTTTTACAAATTTTGGAGATCTTTAAATTTTGTATTTATGCAAAGAATATGTGTACCAGTGTTGTCATATGCTTTAGGTCCCATCACACCAGATTGAGTAAAAACAAGTTAGAGTGCTATATTCGGCTATGTCGAATCTTAAATACCCTCCACCAGCAAGCTACTTTTTATTAAAACCCATTTAATTATCTAATCTTTAGATAACTTGGCAAAATTTTTGTTTCCGTATTGAGGTTATTAACATTCATACATATGTAAAACTAATTTTAATTAGGTCCTGAAAAATTTATATTAATAGGCCAGTTCGAAAACATTTTAATAGAATGATTTATCTATACACAGAACATACTCATTTTGAATTTTATCCGAATATAGTCATTTAATAGCGAATTAAGTGGTATTAAGTGATTTTCAGAAGTATACCTTATATAAGAACTAAGACAACTTATGGACCGATCCAGAAAAAAATTTCGTAGAATGATTTATATGTATATACAAAATACACATTTATGTCGAATTTTATCCCGATAACTTTGATTTTCAATGTGCATTTGAGTAATTTTAAATAAATAAAGACAAAACATATTTGTGTCGAATTTTATTAAGAACTAGCTATACCCAGTGTGCTTTGCTACCCTAAAAGCAATATAAATAAAAAATCTTCTTAATAATTTTGAAGATTCTAACTGTAATGTTTTCCAGAGATACATTTTTTCCGAACGTTAATTAAGATTTTAATGTAATCGATGACAAATTAAAAAAAAAATCTAATATTTTTCCGGATATACGAAATTTTGTATTTAGTTCATATAGGCCAAGACCCCATTGAAAGTCTGCCCGTTATTCTCTAAATGTTCACATTAATGTCAAAGATCTTCATGTAGAATTTGAAGATTCTAGCTCTAATAGTTTCTCAGATATACGAATTTTTCTATTTAATTCATATGGGAACTCACAGCCCGCAGATGAAAGTCCGCCCTTTTTTCTCCAAAATGTTCATATGTATAATAAAGTTCTTCTTGCAATATTTTAAGAATCTTGTTCTATTAGTTTCAAAGATAAGCGAAATTTTGTATTTAATTCATATGTGAGGTGCCAAACCCCCCATTGAAAGTCCGCCCGTTATTCTCTGAATGTTCACATGAATGTCAAAGTTCTTCAGTTAAAATTTGAAGATTCTAGCTCTAATAGTTTCTCAGATATAATAATTTTCCTATTTAATTTATATGGGGGCTCCAAGCCCCCCATGACGAAAGTCCGCTCTTTTTTCTCCAAAGTGTTCAGATGAATATTTAAGTTCTTAGTACAAAATTTGAAGAATTTAGTTCTATTAGTTTCCCAGATAAACCAATTTTTGTATTTTATTAATATGGGAGGTGCTGCTCCCCTCATGGGCAGTCCGCCAATTTATTTCCCAAAATGTTTAAATGGATATTAAAGTTACTCGTGCAAATTTTTAATATTCTAACTGTAATAGTTTCCAAGATAAACGAATTTTTGTATTTAATTTACATGTGAGGTGCCACGCCCCCTAATGCTAATCCGCCTACTTTTTGTCTTAAATTATTATATTGATACTAAAGTTGCTCCGACAAAATTTGAAGACTCTAACTATTATATTATCTCAGATATACTAATTTACTATTTTCTTAATATGGGCGTGGCACGTCGCCCACATGAAATTTCAACATAAAAAGTAGCCTATAGTTCCTTCCAGACATACAGGAAGAAACTGTGAAAATTTCAGGAAAATCGTTCCAGCCGTTTAGCAGTCTATAAAGCACAAACAAACAAACAAACATACATACATACATACAAACACACTTTCATTTTTATATATATAGATAACTTTATTGACAATGAAATATGTGCGTTTAAATGACTTTCGGAAGTGGGCCTTATATGGGAGCTATGACCAATAATGGACCGATCCGTAAAAAATTTGGTAAAATGATTAGTATGTATACGAAACATATTCAACTCGAATTTTATCACAATAGCTTTATTCATCAATGAAATATGTGCGTTTAGGTGATTTTCGGAAGAGGACCTTATATGGGAGCTATGACCAATAATGGACCGATCCGTAAAAAATTTGGTAAAATGATTAGTATGTATACGAAACATATTCAACTCGAATTTTATCACAATAGCTTTATTCATCAATGAAATATGTGCGTTTAGGTGATTTTCGGAAGAGGACGTTATATGGGAGCTAAGACCAATTGTGGACCGATTGAGATCTACGTTGATAGTGTGATTTCTGTTCATATTATGTACAAAATTTTGTATTGATACCGATATATTTGAGGGACTTATTAACGATAAACTATTGGATCGATTGTAAAGATTTTGAACATAATTGATCACTGCCCTGAAAAAATAATGTGTGACAAAATTTATCGAAATGTCTTTGGTAGTTTCTGAGAAAACTTCAAAAGAATTAGAAAAAAACGTAATTTTTTTCGAGGTAGTTGGAAGTTTTTACTCATAACTTTTTACATGGTGATCCGATTTTGCTGATTTTCAATACCAAACTGCTTAGGATAATAATAAATATTTTGGGTGAATTTGGTTGATTTCCTTTGCTTAGTTTTTATGTGTTTTACACAGACAGACGGACAGATGGACATAACTAAATCGACTCAGAATTTCATAAGGACCCAGAATATATATACTTTGTTGGGTCTTAGAAGAATATTTCTTGGTGTTACACACGGAACGACAAACTTATATATACCCTCTATCACCACTGATGGTGGTGGAGGGTATAAAAAGTACACGAATGGAAACGCTGACTTTTACTGCTAAAGTTATTTTGATAGAACCCCGATTTATTTCAGCAAAATTAAAAATATGTACATATGCATAAAAATATCACATAAACTAAAAAAAATTAAGTTCAAAATCAATCAAAAATTCGTAAACCCAAGAATTTTTTTTTTTACTAAAATAGGTCCTATCACGAAATTCGTAAAATCAAGTACTCAAATATTTACAAAATCAAGAATAATAAATTAAAATACAAATGAACTTAATAATTTTAACGTAATAGTTTGGGTGATCGATTATTCGACATTTTCTAATAAACGGTTTTCGAACAGTTGACATTTGAAAAAACGGGTTGATATTTTTCAAATTCAGAAAAAACCGGTTAACCGTTTTTTTATCATAAACTAGCTGCGCGAACCCGGCGTTGCCCGGGTTTCTTCTAAAATAAAGAGAATAATTTTCTATCTGTAATGACTATACTTTTTTTAATAGATGTCAAAATTTGCTTGTAACGATAAAATAGTTATTATATTTTTCTGCATTTTGTTTAATACTTAAAGTCAGTTTCTGGACCAAAAAGTCCCTTAAAAATTTACAAATTGAAAATGAGCTTAAATTAGTAACTTTTGACTAATTTTTAGAAACATTTAAGAAACTTTTTTGAGAAATTATACTGAAATCAGCATTCTCAATCACTGGTAGGGAACTAAGGACACTTTCAAATTAGTTGTTTTATTTTTCCCATATACAGCAGATTTAAAGAACTGTTCTGTACTTTTTATTGTAGTGCCCCTGGTGTAAAGAGGCAAAAGGCTTCGGGGCATTTTATTAACTACAAAAATACGTACCATTAACCGTACAAAATTTCAAGCGATTTTCATTCTATGTATTTGAAAAAGTACAGGCAATTGAAGAAACTCTGAAACGATTATAAAAAATTCTGCACAAAATCATGAAAAATTTGGGCTCATTGGAAGATTTCAAATTCCTTTAAATATTAAGTTTTTTACTCTCCTAGGAAAATATGAAGAATCATTGAATCTTGGCAGAGAAAACAAAACAACTTTTAATTTGACAAACAATTTTGAGTTGTTCATTAAAGAGTAAAACCACCGTTTTTGTCTCATCATTGTTTCTCAAAAATACATCCATTTATACAAATGTGTGTTTAAACATATTATTTTTATTCATTAGATTTTATGCATTCACACTAAAGTTTTTAGCTGAATTTAGACACCACTTATTAAGTCCGAAGAAATAAAGGTTTAAAGGTCAAATATCGTTAGATGTACAAAGAAGATACTCAAATAATTTTACTTATTAAAATATCCATATCTTCCTGTAATTAAAAAAAATTTCGGAATTTGCAAATGGTAAATGGAAAATGTGAGCTGGAGTTGTTCAAAATCATTATTTAATTTGAAGAGCTTGGAATAAATACGGCGCTACATACAGAAAAATATGTGCATAAAAAGTGGATAAAAGTGGATAAAAGTATAAAAAGATATCGAAAGATCAATTTATCCAAATTGTATATGAACAATGCTTTCTAGGTCATCGTTAGAGAGGTCTACCTACACTATCGGACAAAATAAAGTGCAAAAGTACTCATGTATATTCTTTCAGCGAAAAATCGGTTAAATGATTATT